GACTCAATCAACACTGGATTTTTAATTTTGAGATAATTTTATCATTTCTATGCATTTTTTCCTGGGTTTACTTAACTGTAATTTCTTTCTGTGTTTTGTTGATTTCTATTGTTGGAGTTCACATTTCTGATTCAAAAAGTAGTTTTTTATATCCCCAAACGCCTCTCTGAGAATGTGGGTTTCACTGTAGAATGTTCATGACAGTTCTCTTTTCTTCATGATTTTTTGCTTGAGTTTGGGGTTTTGTTTGTTTTGTGTCACAGTTGTTTTTTTGTTTTTTATCTTTTCTGTTAAGGTTTGAGTCAACTTCTACATTTTGGTGATTATTCTGTATGACTTCATCTCTCTTCCTGCTGGTTTTTGAGGCAGGGGGATATACTTCAGGGTTACCAGATTAGTGGTGCAGAGAAAAATGCCGATCCCTTATGGAATGGTTTGATTGTCTCGATACAAAGAAAATGTATCCCGAGTTTTCGCTTCTCTCTCATCCCCCAGACCCTGAGCTCCCACAGAGGACTCCTCCCTGCACATCCTCTCCTCCTGACCCAAAGCTGTGCACAGACCGTGCTGTTGATGTGAGGACTGCTCTGATGGGCTCATGACATGGCCTATGTGCTGAGTTCCTCCTCTCCCCTTCCCGGACCTCCCAGATGCAGCTCCCAGGGGGTCTCAGCCTCCTCATGGCCGCCCCTATCCTGACAGCAGCCCCCGGGCAGTCTCCGGCTTTTCTAGTTCCTGGCCAATCTGCACCTGCCATTTCCAGTGAGCCTTAGGCTGGAGGCATGTGAGACAGGGCAAGATCTGCCTGTTGTGAATTGTCACTTTTTGTTCTTTAACTTTGGTTATTTTGAAATTTGAGCTTGTTTTTTGTATCTGGGTTGTACTGCGGGGGCTGTGTGTGTGATTTTATTTTTCTTTCTTTTTATGTCATTGTTTGAGGAAATAGTAGGAGATACAGACGTAGGCAGCTGCCATGGTGTTTCACTGTATGGAAATCAAATGATTTCAAAGATATTATTTGTTATTTTGCTTACCAATGTTTAAAAACGTATAGTCTGGCAATAGAAATCTAGCAAAGGGCATCTTCGGGGCTAGGGGGCTAGGGAGCTAAGAAGAATTAAAGCCCAGAGCAGGAAGCTACGATCCTAACTGCAGAGCAGCCCTGGGTCTCATCTGTGGGAATCCGGGCTGGGGAAGACAGGAGCTGCGGGTGAAATTCCTGACAGGGCTCGCCTGAGGGAGGGAAAGAAGGCACAGACTGCGAACTTCCAAGTCAGAGACCATAGCACAGGAATTTGTCTTGGCGCCTGTGCCCTGTGATCCTGGTGTCTCCACATATTCTGAAGGATGTTCTGGAGCACAGATACGTGAGGGAACATGGCAACAAGTCCTGACCAACAATCCCTGGATAGCAGGCACTTAGCAGAAGCAAATGCCAAGAGAATAAAGACCTTGACAGAACTACCCAGGATTTTCACAGAGGCCAAAATCACAAGCTGACACGCAAATCAGAACTTACGGAAAGCAATACATCGTGCGTCTCATCAACAAGCAAAATAGATGGCATGGTTAGACAGCAAGGGTTTAAATAATTGAAAAATCTAATAGTGCAGTTAAGCTGCTATGGGAATACGGAAATTACAGGAGTGGAAATGCTAGAAATGAAACACAGAATATCTTCAGTCAGGAATTCCTCCAGCAGGCTCATCAGCACAAAATGCTGCACAGCAGAGAAAATAGTTACCTTAAAGATGGTCCCTTAGGGGCTGGAGATTTAGCTCAGTGGCATAAACACCTGCCTTGCAAGTGCATGGTTGCGAGTTCGATCCCCAGTACCGATTTAAAAAATGGTCCCTTAAATCAGAACTGAAACATAATGGGAGAAAGTGGGGAAATATCGGATCTTCAGTTACTTCACAGTACCCAGTAAGCTCACAAATGTTGATGGAATCAGAGACAGGGAAAAGAAGAGAAAGAACAGGAAAATAACTGTATGAAGAGCTGAAACTTTCAACAGTGGTAGAAGGCACAATGTTGCCTCAATGCAGTTTGTTTTACGATTTAAGGAAGATGGCCACATTTGTGTTTGCCATGCAATGTGGAGTTTGTGAATAAAGGCAAAACACTTTTGCTTGAGAAGCAATTGTTTGTGAACAGAAGCATTCATGGACCAAAGTATTACTGCATTAAACTACAATCCAAGAGTCTCGGGGTAGCAAGCTGTGAAACTCCAAGCCTGCAGGCTCACTACGCATACGGTGTGCAGATTGGTTCAGAATTTAAGAGAATGCACTCTGAAGGCAGCCAGAGGCAGAAAAGAGACACTTCTTGTAGAAAAAGAAAAAACATAAGTAGGTAGTGCAGCAGACTCTGGTCAAAAGCTGTGTGATCTAATAAACAATGGAACTGCATCTTTAAAGTGTGAAAGGGAAACCATCGTCCCAAGTCTGATGTCCAGTGAAAAGATCTTTCACACTTGAAGCCGAAACAAGGATTTTTTCCCACACAAATAAAAGCTAAAAGACCATTGTTAGCAGATCTACAAAATTAAAACTATGTAATAGCAATTGAAATGTGGTTAGCACAAACAAGTGAAAAGTCCCAGAATTAGTAAAATGAAAGTGAATTTGAAAGACGTTTTGTTCATACTATTTGTAATTATTTTAAAACATAACTGAATCTTCAAAGGGAGAAAGAAATCATTAAAAAAAAACAAACATTACAAACATGTACTAGCAGAAAGTAAAATATGAGAAACTAAATTAAAATTTTAAAAATTAACAAAGATACAAAATCAAGTGTGTGAGAGCAAAGGAGAGTTAGAAGCAAAGTATTCTAGGTCTCACATGAAAGGGTAGAACATAACTTAAAGATATGTATTTAAGGTCCATGTCCAACAGTAAAAATGTTTAAAATTACAGCATAAAAAATGAAATGGAAAATATCGAGATACTATTTAAAAACAGGCAAATTTTTAAGAGCTCAAAAGAGTACTGTCAGAAATGAGGAAGTACTTATCAATTTAGAATTCCACACCCAGCTGAAGTGTCACCTGAGATGAGAAAGGCTGAGACTAACACTGGTATAAATTCATTTTAGGAAAACTTAACAAAGGATCTAGGAGGAAAGGAGAAGATACGTGTGAGAAGCAAGGATAAACTAAAAAATAACAGATGGGAACAAATCCGAACACAGGTTCCCTGAGCAGAGCAACAGGAGCATAGCCACGCATACCCATGTGTGGTCAAGCGGCACAGCAGGGCATCTCCCAGCCCCAACCTGGGCTCCACTGCTGCTGAAGTCCCAAGGCATGTCTGACTTCCTCCTCTGTTTTACTTTCCATCTAGTTGTGTCTTTATATTTAAAGTAGGTTTCTTAGAGGCAGTACATGGTTGGATCTTGGTTTTTGTCTATCTGATGATCCATGCCTCTTTGACAGTACAGTTTCATGAAAACTTTATTACATTTGCCTTCTATTTTACTCTCTGGTGCTTCTGGGTAAATGTGAGTTGATTTTTTCATCTCATGATCAGTGATATCCTACTGTTTATTTGCATGCTTGATAACAGCTCTCTGAAGACCAGCCATTATGAATTCTGCTTTGTTGTGTGTTGGATTTTATTTTTAAAAATAATATTGATTGGGACTGGGGATTTAGCTCAGTGGCATAAGTGCCTGCCTTGCAAGTGTGCAGTCGTGAGTTCAATTCCTGGTACCAATAAAAATGAAAAAGACAAAAAAAATTGATCTTCAATCTTTTTTGCCCAATTGTTACTGTGAAGCAGTTTGATCTTTTTGACGCTTGCTTTTAAGCTTTTGATTCATGAAACCAAGTAGCATTCAGCATAATCCCAAACATCCCATGTGTCAGGGCTTTTTCCATGTTGCCTGGCAGGAACATTACCTAGGTCCGGCCTGTGCGAGCTCTGGAAGCTGTCCTGCCTGTCCTTCGAGGTGCGGCCTTCTTAGCCCTAAGTGTTGCCTCACAGACACTTGCTGACCTGTGCTCCGCTGCACACTCGGCTGTTGTTCTGCAGATGGCTGCTCATGCTCTGGCATTTGGTGAGGACTGGCCGTGTGTGCATGTGTGGCTTCTGGTCTGTCTGTAGCCAGGACTCAGTCATGAGAGCTGCACCCTCATGACCTCATCAAATTTTTTAACGTACTTTTGAGACAAGTTAGTCAGCTGTCTTGTGACTGGGACACAATACTCGATGCACATAATTTAAAGGTTAAATTTGGCTCCCAGTTCATGGGATTCAATTCAGGATTGGCTGGCTCCAAGACCAACACATCATGGTGGAAGGGCACAGTGGAAGCTAAGCTGTTCAGTTCATGATGGTCAGAAAGTAGAGCACAGCAGAGCAGCACAGAGAGGAAGGAATGAGGGACCAGAGGTCATCCCTGTATGATCCATCCAGATACCCTAGATGGCTCCCAGGATGATCACGGAATAGTAGACAAAAGATGAGGATGTGTACACCCAGCAAGTGTGGTGGACACCATTCCCACAACAGGATGGCCCAGGACTCCCCAGAGTACATCCTGGCCCAGGAGCCCCAGTTTGTGCCTGCTCAGTCACAGCAGGGACATGGGCAGCAGTTATGCAGTGAGGGGGTGGTGCAGGAAGGGGCAGACATGTCCCCTGGAGAAGGGTCGTGACCTGGAAAACAACTGTCCAGGCCCAGAGAAGCAGTTCAAGCATCAAGACAGTCATACCCACAAAACAACCTGGCTCACCACGGCCTGGTGCTGCCGCCACCTGCCAACATCCTCCAGAAAAGGCAGCCCAAGGGAGACTGGCGCCCACATTTGGCTGGCTCTGGGCTCCTGGAGGACAAGAGTGCTTTGCTGACCTCACCTGGTAGACTCTTGGGGTGACACAACTGGGTCACATGCTCCTCCATGGCCATGGTTTACTCAGTCAGTGGTTTTCCAAGGTTAAAAAGAATTGTGCCTTAACTATCAAATCTTGATTTTTTACATTTTTTTCTCCACAGAAAAAAAATCAACAGAGGATAAATATGAAAAACTCTCGGTTCTGGGCAAAATTCTTCAAAATATTGGAAGATCGCAAGGTAACTTGTAAGAACAGACAACCAACTCTTGATCTGGGCATTCATTCTGGGCAAAGGAGGAGAGAAGCACCCCGCAGCTCAGCTCAGCGGCTGCTGTGCACAGCCTGGGGAGGGAAGGGTACTCAGCCCACCTGCTAATCAGCTTTTCATCACCACAGCAAAATCCCCAGGAAGGTCACACTAGAGGAGGGAAGGGGGTGTTATGGCAGAGGCAGAAGCATCATGACAGAAGGACCAGCACCCGCTTCTTGGGGATGCATGGGGATGATGCTTGGGCGCATACACAGAGCCCAGAATACATGGAGCGCCAGGTCTCACCCACCTGAGCCTGCAGGGAAGGGGACAAGGACATCTCTGACCCCTCTTCACACCAACACCACAGAGTCTTTGTCTTGGGAACAGCATGCTGGTTACAGGATGGCAGAGGCTGGATTGCTTCTCTTTCCTTGGGGACATTTGAGGTTCATGTGCTTGACTATGACTCCCTGAGCTATGAGGGACTTAAAACTTTGGATGACCAGTGGGGGCTACAGTGTGGCAACAGGACTTGACTCTAACATAAGGCCAACGTCACCAGTTGGCCCCTAAGGCCTGTGACTGCCCCAAGAGAAGCAGGAAGCCCCCTGGCCAATGTGTCTCTGAAGGCAAGTGGAAAGCAGCCAGATTTTCAGTGGAGAATGCCATGTGCCCACTTGGCTCTGCCCACCCCCAGGACCCTGCATTCAGGCTGATCCCAGGCCTCTCCTGGAGCTGCTGGGCCAGAGGTGTACCCACTGGGGACAACTAAGGCCATTCTCATGGAAATCTCTGTCTCCAAACAGAAAAAAGCAACCATCACCAGAGAAGGATGAACTCACCAAAGCGGCAGGGACAGACGGTGCCCCGGGATGTGGGCCAAACAGGAAGAACAGCAAAGACTTATGCCCATTCTTAGGACAACACAGACACATACACACACACACACACACACACACACACACACACACACAGAGTTAATTATTCTATAAAGGAAACTTGTTGTATCCATGTGACCCCAAACTGAGTTACTTTATTTTAAGTACTAAGGTAGAAGATTGCCTTACCAAAACAGCTCTCAGAGTTCCCTGGGGGAAGGAAGGCAAGAGGACAGGAAAATAAAAAAGATGAAAATCTGAGGTCGGGCAGAGCCCTGTCTCTTTGGGGGAAAAGGAACTGCTCAGCCACTACAGCAGGTTTATTTACACACTCAGGGAGGAGGATGTCAGTTTCAACCCCCTCCTAGCAACCTGTTTACCTGGCTGCCCTGGGCCCTTGCCTTTTTGGAGATGGAACAGCTGGTTTCCAGGGCTTGCTTTGGGCTCTCTGTGTTTTCAGGGATGGCCTTGCTTTAACCCCACATGTCTGATCAATCTCTAACTTCAGCCACTGGACCGCTAGCCCTCTCTCCCTCACCCTGACTGATGGGACCACAGATGACAGCAATCTTCAAAACCTGGAGATTGAATGAATTCCAGTGCTGATCTCATCATTCTGTCCTCTCCCCCAGTAGCACACAGAGGCCAGCAAAGTCAGGTGCTTGCTTTCAATGTCACTAGGAGTTGGTTGAGTTCAGGCACCCCTGAACCCTGTATTCTCAGGGCTTAACACAGAGTTGGAAACCAAACTTATGAGCAAAATCAGATGTGTTGGTTTAGCCAGAAGGCAGCAGGTGATGAGAGCTTGAGAGGTGGCACATGTTGAAAACATGCCTCTTGGGTCTAAGTGGCATTCTGCCAGTGGCACTTCCAAGAAAGGGTCCCAAAGATGCAGAGGTGTGTGTTGTGAGAGGGCACTGCCATCCTGGACAGGAACTGATGCCAGAGTGATCCTACTATGGATCACAGATTGGGGGAAACAAATATTCATCTGCTCTATATGATTTTATAGTTTTGAAATTTATGAGGGCTGGGTTTATGCCCAAAGCATATTGCTGATCTTGGCAGAGATTTTCCTAGAACCTGGAGGGAAGTGGGCTCTGCAGTTGTTGGATGCAACATTCTACAGAGTCAATGGAGAGCCTTGTGGTTGTAGCTACTTCCTTACCAATTGCTCTTCTGTCCACCAGTCACCAACAGAGCTGAGATAAAGTCCATCTTTGTGAGGGATTTGTTTCCTAGCCCTGTGAATTTTGCTTTGTATTTTTCTAAACTAAGTTATTAGATTATATAAAGACAACATGCTAATCTTCTACCTGGTTCGGAATAAGCCTTCAGTGCCAAAGGGGTACGAAGATCTTACTCCAGGGCCTATCAGTTCATGCATTCACACACACATCTATCATCAAGAGTACCAGAAAAAGCCAGGTGTGGTGGCACACACCTGTAAACCCAGCACTTGGGAGGCTGAGGCAGGAGGATTGTTGCCAGTTGAAGGCCAGTCTATGCTACAAAGTGAGCTCAAGACCAGCCTAAACTGCACAGTGAGATTCTGTCTCAAAGCCAAAAAAAAAAAAAGTGCCAAAACTCATAAAAATGGAAAAATGAGTTTATTCATACATTATCCATTTAGAGGACAGCTAGCCCACTCCCCTCCAGCACATCGAAGTCCTCCAATTTACAGAGGGATAGAATATAAGCACAGTACCCTTTTACTGTTTTACTAATTTGTTTACTGTTGGTTTTTTTCTCTTTAAATAAATTTTTTAAAAAAAGAATATAAGCACACACAGATTTCCTCAGGCTTTTGCCACCAGAAGCCTACAAAATGTTGGGTCGCCCTTGGCTGCAGGGCTGGGGGAGGCAGTTTCCAGTTTCACAAAAAGGGTTTGGAGAAGCAGTGCATCCCTTCTGAAATCCTAATGCTTATAGTCCCATTTTAGCTTCCCCATCACATTGTGACAAGGCGTTCCTAAATCTACTAAATCTACTCTACCTGACTTTACCATGGTCACGTTAACTTTCTTTTGGTGAACATTGCATATCACTTCTAATTTATTATCTTCTATGACATGACAATGCATATATTTAAAAGACAGACAACACACGTGAGGGCTTTTCTAAATCCAGCAGTTTGTGTCACTTCATTGAATTATACAACCCATCCATATTACATGTAACTTCAGTGCAGCTAGGTTCTTATCTACTCTATAATATTTGTGTTGTTTGTATCACATGAATAAATTTTCTCTTCTTTCACCTTGTATTAAACAAGTATTTTTTCATTTTATTTTCTCCTCAGACTGTTGACTGTAGATTCTTTCAATATTATTTTGAAGAGTATGTCAGAAACTACAGTATGCATACCCTTGACGTACCGTTATGTAAAACTAGCAATTTATCACTTTCTGAATCATACAAGGACATTACACTTCACATAAGAATGTTTGAATTATTTTTGTTACAAATTTTAATTCTATGTAGAGTCTGCCAAAAAATTATTTGTATCAGAAAAGAAAAACTTGTATGAACATCTTAATACTAAATGTGTTGAGACACCACGAGATTAAGACAAGATACCTTTGGCTTCTGAAACTATAGGAGGTGCTCAAAAGTGGTGACCATGAGCTTCCAGCAATTTACCACTATGGTGAACTGCTCAAGTGCATATACATATTGTGGGAGACACTGTATTTTAAATGTCAACAAACACTATAATTAGTCCTATTCAGCAAGTGTGCAGTGAGCATTCACTCAACTCTGCCTATTGGTCTACACACGCTGTCCTTCAGTCAGTTTCCAGTGGCACGGAGTGGCATATATTTTGGGCAACTAAAGAAAACAACATTCATGAGGGCTGTGAGTATTTTAGTATAAGTTTACCAGGAAAATTCTCAACTTTTTTATCTGTCTGGAAATATTCATGTTCAATTTTTGAGGGGTTTTACAAGATCAGCAGTTATATAACTGACACCACAGAATGGAACTTTAATAGGATTTTTTTTCTTTTAAGACAAGCAACTTCTCCATATTTCCCAAGATTTAGGGCATAAATGTCACCTCTCCCTCTGTTTACCAAAATGAAGGACTTACTTTGATGTGATTAGCAGTGAGCAAACTGAACCTGAGTGGAGACCTAAGTGACTCATAATAGTTTTGGGGAGCCTGTCAGGAGGGCACGTTGGGGATTCTCCCCTATGGTCCATGGATCTTTCTAGATCTTCTGAGCTTTGCCATTTTACATGCCCATGACTATTAAAATTCCTTTTATGATCTTTCTTTCTTTGTGGGGTGTTTTGAAATAGGGTCTTTCTATGTTGTTTAGGCTGGCCTTGAACTCACAACATACTCCAGACTGACCTCAAGTTTATGATGGTCCTCCTGCCTCAGCCTCCCAACTACTGGGGTTATAGGCATGCTGGTACCACCATGCTCAGCCTCTCTTAGAGTCTTCCAAGTGGATTCACATACAGACGTCCATATTATCTGTGACAGTTCCTTTCTGGAGACAGAGAATTATATCAGAAATTAGTTTATTGGATTTGATACAAGTATTAAAGTTCAAACCCCCAGAAAACACTCCAAAGACGTTTAAGTGGCATCCTGCGGTAGCATGTGAATGTTATTTTAGAGCAGACCTCCTCCACCTGCTACAACTTCTGAACAGTGTTTTTCTTCAGCAGATATTGGTTTGGGGCATTGACTTATTCTTGTCAGATGTTTTGTGGGCAACATAAAAAGTAACTTAAAAATTAAATTAGATGGACATTTAACTAAAGCATCTGAATTACTTAAAAATAATTTACAACACTAAAAACATCTGCTAAGTATAAACCCATGTATTCTTTCCTTCTTAAGATTTGTAAATGATGATGGATTTGGGCCAGTTGAACATATTTCAGATTGCATATTGTGCTTATAACACTGAGAGATAGGAGCCAAAACATCTGATCCTTGACTGAATTTGACAGTAACTATTTTAGAGAGGCAGTAAGTGTCTGCCAGTGGAGACTCCATCGAACCATAGATCAGCAAGTAGAAGAAGGGCTTTTCCATAGAGGTCCGAGAGCGAGTGAGGGTGTACCCTCCCATCATCAGAAGGTGTCATAAAATCAGTCGCTCGTACAAGCACAGCAGACTCAATATCCCTTAACAGCTGGCTGAAGTGAAGGTAAGGAGTGAACAGCTGTGTCTTCCCTGGTCTGTTAAGGTGTTTTAAAAGGCCCAGTGCTTAGACTGAAGAGTTACCTGATAAAAGTCGTGCTTGCTTCTCTGTTACAGAAGAGCTATTACGTTGCTGTTTATCTTTGCGTAAGCACTTTAAAACATGGCTTTTAAAAATCATTGTTTTTACAGAAAAGCCTTGTAAAGTTCAAAAACAAAGACTTGGGACTTTGCTCCACCCCCCCCGCCCCCCCCCCCACCGTGTCTTGTCCCAATAGGTAGCTGACATCTGCCTCTGGCACTTAAACATACCACTGTTAGGGTTTTCACACCTTCGGATACTCTCTGTGTGGGGCAGATGGTTCTGTAATTACCTAAGTGCTGTCGTTTTGTTATAAACAGATCATGTCTCAACTACACCAGACATTTCTAATTAGAGATACTTTCCAAGAAAAATGTTTAAGAATTCAAAATATAATACATGGGGGTGTCAAAATTTTTATGTTTAAGATAATGCTTAAGATATTGATCTGTTCTTACTAAATTTACAATGAAACTTGAAAACAGGTTTCACTTTTGCCAGAACAGCTTCTTGTGTTCTCTACTGTCTTTTGTTAGGTTTTAAATTTTAGAAAAACAAATCTTAGGGAGTTAGGATTTATTTAGATATCTGTTCAAAGTTTTGTCTTACAATTCCGATTATATAAACTACTGTTATATGCAATTTGCCTTATTTTTAAGGATGTAATTGTCCTGGTATAATATCAGTCATGACTATAGTCTTAATATGTTATAGCAGTAAGTTGTTTTGCTAAATTGCTACCTTGTAAATTGTTTATAGCCATTTAACTGTCAGAAGCCATGTTCTTCTTGGTTGATAAGAACAACCTTGCTCAGAAGTGTATTTTTTAGTTGTTAAAATAAACATTAACTCTTGTATACTGGTTTGAAATTTTTATAGTTCTGTTGTGTTTACCCAGGAAATTCTCATGGTATTGCTGACTGTGATACTTAGTCTTGGCATTAGGAAGTGAAGTGCTTTCTCCTAGATGGTAATTTACAAGAA